GCTAGACTTAGTTGTTAGGTAAATCTATGTAATTGCAAAAGTAATTTCAAGAATCTTAATAAAGTACTAGTGTGACTACTTAAGTTTAAAAAAAAAAAAAAATGTTCACAATATGATAGGTAACTGTATTTAGAGAAAACTTGCAACTAGAGAACATGCACTTAAAGAAAGTTGATTGTATAATGCTGGTATAGAAAAAGATACGCATTATACCAACATATGGATATATCGACAAAATTTTTATAGCTAATGAGTTTAAATATAACCAGAATGACGTGTGTTATACCCGATACTACTGTAAAATTTTGGTTTTGTAAGCCTTAGTTCCAAGTTTATTTACGAAATCGATACAATACTTCCTGAGTATATGTATTTTGCACATTCTTTCTTATATATAGCCTTGGTTAATTACATATAAAAAGGATTAAATAAATTGGATAATGATAAATAGGTTGTACGTATAAAAGCGATGTTAAATTATATTATATAAATTATATAAAAAAACATAATTAGGATTTGAAACATTAGTACTGATTAAATTTCATAAAAATTTATAAAATTTGAAAACAAAAACAATGATTTATAGCTTTTAGAGAATAATACAACAACGAGAATGCGAATATTCTGGAGTATAATTTGATTGAGAAGGATAACTATAATTCGATTGAGAAGGATAACGGTAACTTGATTGAGAAGGATAAGAATAAACCGGTTCTTCATAATAATAATAAGTGGTATTCCCATCTGTCATCACTATAGCAGTTGATTCATTATTTCCTTCACGAACTGAAATTCCAGCATATCCTATGCCATCTGAGTATCCTTCAACATAATCAACAGTACTGACGTTGTTAGGATAATTCCTTCTATAATTTGATCTGGTTAAAGACATAATGAATGTTTTTACCTTAATAAACTTTAAGGTAATTTAATTTGAATAATAAGTGTGTTTAAAAGAGCGTGAAGAAGCAGTTAATGGATAAAAAATTTTTTGTTACTATTTAAAAATAGGAAATCGGAGTTTAGTAATGCACAATTTCCATATAACTAACTATACTATTCTATTAAGTTTTTTGTATTTCTTATACATAACCATTTCGTATGCCTTTATTGGCCTTTGTTTGTTGATAGTCGGTTGTTGGTAGCGCAAGAATAATCTAATCCTTAGAATATATGAGATATCGGAACAACGTGTATGAGTCATGGTTGTGAATGGTGTTCTAAAATAGGACGAGTATTTATCGCATACACTTTTCCTAAAATCTCTAACTCACTTTTAGCATTGTAAAATTACTGTAAGTGCCTAATGTTCATGATAAGGATAATTGTGTTACGATTAATATTATTTGGCAAATGTTTTCGTGAACGCGTAAACTTATCGCAAAGGTTACAATGCTGATTAATCCATTGTTTCTTGTTTATATACATATATATATAATATATATATGTATAAAGTATGCGATAAAAATATCCGGAACTTTTATGTAATTCGAAAACGGTTAAATTATTTTCAATGATTTTGGTCTTAAACAAATGTTACGGTTCAGAACATTCATTTAACCTCAAAATCATCAAAAAAGGTTTAGTATTTCGGCACTATAAGATTGTTATTCATTTATTTCACAATGAAAATGCCAATATCTCAAGAACGGGTAAGTCTTTATTGATGACTTGGATTTAAATGAACGCTTCGAACCTTAGTATTCGTTTAAGTCACAAATCACCAAAAAGGTTCAAAAGTCTTTGAGATGGATCATAATATTTTATATGATGATGAATAATCATTTTCTTTCCTGCAATTTATTTTGAGAATTATTTGATGATTGTAGCATTTGTTCAAACTCAAAATCACTAATAAGGGATCAGCCATTCTTATAGTATCATATTTTTTTAGATATCTTTGTCGCGTACTTTATTATTTCTATGGTACTTATTAGATATATTATATTATGTATAATTATTCAATAGAATAAATAATAGAATAAAAATAATAGACTAAATCCGAATCTGGATAATCCGAATCCTTAATAAACTCTGTAAAAACCGAACATAAAACTTCAGAATATTTGTAAATTTTATTCTAAGTTCGGGGTAGCACCATAGTAACTCTTTGAAAAACAGAACTTTTTTGCTATTTTTACATATACAAATGACTGTTCGAACTAGAGAAAGTAGTATAGCTAGAGATGGCAAATGGCTTTAAAACATAATCTTCAAAACTACGATGATTGGTTGATTTTTAATTTAAAAAATGGTTTAATACATCATGACTTAATCATCATGATAGTTGAGTAATTCAAAAGTATATTGTTCTCGGTTATTGCTTAGGACATCCGTTGAGTATTCAAGTCCAATTAGTTGGTTCTCTCACTGCCAACTTCTGCTCCAATTTCGGATTTATATATAATAAATATCGTACAAGTTTGAACAATAACCAGGTAAAAACTTGACTGTTTATCAAAATCAGAGAATTTAGAAATGATGTCAATGATAATGATAATTAACTTTAAAATATTTTTAATTTACATAGAGGTAATATTTTACAAGATAATTTATACATATACATTGCAGACTTTGGATGTAATTGAAGGATACGTAGGCAAATTATGCACTTAAAATAATAATGAATATAATAACGATTAATAATGTTCGATAATGATAAGTTTTTCAAATGTAACCCATTAGAAGGTTCCTCAAATTTTGTGGCAGGTTCTTGACCCTATTTCTGTATTTTGTATTGGCGTTAGCGGGATATATTTTTAATATATCTTCCACGGTGTGGATGAGTAACACGAGAAATAACCAATTTGACCAATCAGGACAAGCATCTTTGACATTGTAGTTATATAAACAAATCGACCAATCAGACCAATCCAAATTTGCTTATTTGTTAATTTGGTTTATATTGCTAGGCCATATGACCAATTTGACCAATAACCAGCAAAATTTATAGTCGACCACTAATTTGACCAACATTGATTATTATTATTGATATGAGTCATGAGAGTGAAAACCTGTAATAAATCATAGTAAATCATTAAATCTATTTTCAGGTTTTTATTCTCACGCATTCATATGTTCTATACGATCGCATGATCGGTCGATCGATCCTTAAGGGTATGAGGCATGAAGGGTGTGAAGAACAGCAGAGCATGAGCACAGCTTTAGCAAAATTTCAAAAGGAATGAAAAGTCAATCTTACATAATATTTAGTCTTATTGACTTCTTTGCAATTGTTCTGCCCCAGCTTTGTAAACCCATTCTCTAGATAATTTGTATTTTTTTGTCGAATTTTTTACCAAATGGTAATCAATAAACGTCAAACTATTAATTTCTAAGTTCTGATTAGAAAAATATTGACAGCAAAAAGGTGCTCTCAAGCACCTAAATTAATAGATTGGAGTTCAATTTTTAATCAGTAAAAAATAGTTCAACAGTAAGTTTATCATTGCAATGAAAAAGATTGTCAAAACCGTCTTTTTTTATCATAGAGTTGTCCCGATAGATAAAATTTAATATTCGCATTTTGTACTGATAAATCTTCGGCAAAATTACTATAAAGATTGTTTCAATTAATCATAATGTTATACACGATCTCAATCACTAGCAAAATTTATTGAGAAATAAGCTTGAGAGCAACCTAAATCATTCAAAAATTTTGTAAACTGGGTAAAAACTTTTACTAATTCCAAAACAACATGTGTATGTTATTTATTGATGATTTCAAATTGGCAGGAATTAATAAATGACACATAATATAATTATATATATATCTTTATATATGATAAAAATTCCTCACTAATGCTAATGAAAAGCCCCTTGCACATAGTTCTTTTTAATGCTAATCAAAGCCCCTGCACATAATTATTTTTAATGCTAATCAAAACCTCCTGCACATAATCCTAATCAAAACCCTTACATATAATTTTCTTTGACACTAGTCAAAGCCTTTGCATGTAATTATCTTCAGCGCTAATCAAACCCTTTGTATATAATTCTCTCTAATCACATTTGCATTTTATAAAAAAAAAAATCTATAATCAAAATCCTTTGCACGAAACTAAAATAACTTGTTTAATCATACATTGCATTTGGATTTATGTATATATTTTTTTATAAGTACAATTCTTTGTATAAATAATAGATTATTTATTAAATTTGTAAAAAAAATATAATATTAACATTTTAATTTTTTGCTTTTGCTAAGGCTGATGTTTACAGCAGTTACACCTTTATTGTGTTTTATTTCTAGTTATATAACTTGTACAAGGTAAGTGTGCAACTAGTTACACATGAAACTTTTGGTTACTTATTTAAATAATCCACTTACAGGTTCTATACTAGCTGCTATATCTGTAATCTACTAGAAGATTACTTAATTAAACACTTTGATTCCTATACTACACCTGATAAATAGTACACTGATTTCTGTATATCTAAGTGTTATCTAATCCAACATTTAGTTTTCTTTTCTGTATATCTGTTAAGTTATTATATATTTCAAAATACATTACCTAATTGTAAGATTTCAAGAGACCTTTCTGTTAACTAATATACTTACTTTTTATAAAACATTAACAAAACTTGCCCTTATAGAGTTTATCCAGGTCTCAATACTAACTTTACAACATATCTTTAATACTTATAGTATACTTCTACTTTGTTATTTAATTTCTAATCCAGATAACTCAATAAAATTATAATCTGTTCTTGATATATCAAGTCTAATCCAATATCATTTGAGATTTTTGATAGTCTAGTTAATGATACCCCTTACTTAGAAATTCTTGTTTACCTGATTTCTTTATATTGGTATCTGTTTTTTAGATTTAGTCTTTACAATAATATTGTCAAAGATCTATATTACTTCTTTATTTAGGTTTTTTTAAATAAGTTTTAGTTTTTTAGTTTTAAAAATTTATATAATCACAAAAATTTATCTTGGATTTACATTACCATATTTCACAGTTTAACCCACCTCTCTGTTTAGATTATGTGAATATTTCTATGATGTATATCAGATAAGTAAAATGTATGTCACAATAGAAATGATTACAATTATTATTGCAAACACTAGATTATCATAATATGTAATAAACATAATATATTTTATAATAAATACATATAATAAATATAATATGCATCTGTATGTACCTTTAAGATATCTATATAAACCAATAACTATTTTACAACAGGGGTGGTTTAAACTGCAAAATATGGTACTCAGTACTGATTTGCATTTCTCTGTATAACAAGCAATATACAAATATTTCTTGATCTGCTAATTATGCTAATGTAACCATTGTTACAAGTATCTTATTTTAACTAATTAACAGAATACTATTGTTATAATATAGGTGTATTTGTCTAAATTTTGTTTCTGATAGGTTTTAAACTTATAACCTGTTACTTGAAAGAGTAACAACTTATCTACTTCACTAAGTTACTACATTTTTAATATTATATTAATATTAAATCTAAATTAACAAGTTCTATTTTATCTTAAATTATAAAAGATAATTAATAATTTGAACCAGTTGAACTATAATTGGTTAAATAACCTAATCTGAATAAATGTCAGATAACCAGTTAAGCAAATTCTTAATTGGCTGATCTGATGCAACTAATCAGAATTGGGTAACCAGTTAGTAGGATTAATAAAGTATGTAAATGACCAAGAGAAGACAAAGATTCTGAAAAGGTCTGAAAAGAAACTGAATAAACATAAGAGATGATCAAAATTAATCAAAAATTTAAGTTCTAAAAATTTCCAAGGTAAGAACAAGAAGTAGAGATTATTGATCTCAACTGGTTGTAATCGGTTGACATAAAATAGTTCAGTTCGGTTAACCTATTGAGAATATTTTTTTCAGTTCAAATCACTAAAGATAA